AAAGACACCCCGATCCCGGGACAGCCAATGGAGAAGGTCCTGTACCAGTCCCAACCTCTAAACTGACGCGGAAAGACGCTACGCTTTTGCATCGTCTCCGAACTAATAGCGCGTTCACGAGGAAGACATTGCATCGCTTTGGAAGGACGTCTCAGAGAAGCAGTGCTGACTGCACTGCGTGCGGGGACGTTGAAGACATCGATCACATACTATGGCACTGCCCGGAATACGAGAAAGCACGGAAAACATTACTAGCTTCGGTAAGGGCGACAGGGGCACAGGTGTCCACAACAAAGGAACTGCTATTTCCTACTGGTGGCAAGCAACGGGCGCGGGTCATATTCCGTGCAGTGCTTGAGTTTGCGCATGTGACTTGAGATTTCAGACCGCCTCTAACTGCCGCGCGCAATTCGGAAACCGGTAAAGATCTCGTCACACGTTTGCGACATGACAATGATGCAAAACTCCAGTGAACATAACTGTGTTGTGGCAGAACTGCGGAACTTCGGCTGTGAAACGTTACGCAGGTTCAGCTCGTCGCCGCGGAGCTGTACTTGTGCAATTGACCGAATGTTGGGAGCGATTGAGCGACTGTTGGCACTTGCGCGTTTTATCGAACGTTTACTTAGAACCATGTTTTAGCCGTGTGTTAGCAACGCTTTGCCCTCCCCCCCCCCTCCCTTCCCTCTACCCTACAAGTGATTTGATTGGCGCTTTCCCCTAGTAACTGCTAAAATATTTTATTCAACCCATCTCAATCCACATCTTTCCCTCCCTCTCCCCTTTGGCTATGCGAGTCTTTTCCCTGCCTGGAGAATAACATTTCGCATAGCCATTCAACCCCCTTTCCCGTTTTATACACCACATCCCCCCCCCCTTCCCCCCCCCCCCCTTGGCGCGCGTATTGATAGATGGCGTCGGAAGCAGCGTCCGAAGATGGAGCCGACCAGCGAAAGAAAGCGGACGACACGCAGACGAAATCCGTTGGCAGCAAAAGCGCCGTTGTTATGCAAACGCGTTTTTTTTTGTTCCTTTATGTTTTGCTTTTATTGTCCGCATTTATTTTTTAACCGAAGGTGCATTACAAAAAGATAACGTTTATTTTAATAAACCACGGTGGTCGCCAGCAGTCTCGGTTAGTCTCGATAATGAGGTATAGCGCCACCTATCAATACGAGCGCCAAAACCGCCACGCTACTTGACTTTGTCGTCTGCGTCACCGCCCGCCGTTAACCCTGGCAAGTTTCTTGGCCCTATTTTTTTTTTTTTTTTTACAGAAAGGGAGCTACGCTCTGTAATTTTACAAGGAAAAACCGATCTGTGAAATACACCTTTGACGAAAAGTTCAGATTGCATCGTGCAGGCGTCGACTTTTACGGTCCATTTTATATCGAGCCTGCAGTGACTTGGGACCAACGTTACTAAACAGCTCAGTTACGAAACTGCCGTAGAGACTGCTCTGAAAAAGTGTCCCCGATCTGTCCACGAGCACCGACCTAATGGCGATCACGACGCCGCCATTTACCCACAGCGGCCGCTCGAGGAACTGCACGTTACGTCTATTTTGGCTTTAATTGGCCATTTTGGCGCCGAAACAGATACAGCGGAAGAGGTTACAGGGGTGCCACCCCCGCCTCCCCAGCGGACGGGCCGCATCTTGCTACCCATAGAGTTATTACAATAAACGCTAGAGGCACAGCTGGCGCTAGTGTGCTGTTGCATTTTGAAGCAGACAGCATGCAGTCAGGAATTGACTTCCGGTAATGCATTTCTATGGGAAAAAGCGAGCGCATTTTCTCTCTGCGCTCGATTATAAGAGCAAATATCACGAATAATTTGTACGTACTAGGCACATTGGAACAGTTCTCAGTCACGCAGATGAAATAATTGGTCAGTTACAGCATTTTTATTTGAAATTCGCGGCATTAAAAACTGTTAAAACCGCTTCGTACGTGTATTTATGTGCACTGTCGGACACTGTTAGCGCGAACACGGCGTCGACGCTTTCCAGCATGGGGGATATACGTGCCAAACGAACGAAGGACATGTGGAAAACCAAGAGACGGCAAGAACTACGCAGTAACACTGGTTAAGTAACTCCTTGTGCTTGCAGACGACCAAAATAAATTGAAAGTCGCGTAATATAGTCCGATTTGCAATAAATAAGTACTGCTTTATTCTTTCTGCTCATGAATATGTGCGAAAATTCTTGTTGTGTTCAAATCATTACCCGCACGCTCCAAATCTTTGCAATTAGGGGGAAGCCAGAGGACAGGTGCACGATAAAAACTGCCCAACATAGGAAATAACAAGAAAACAAACCTTTCGCATCCTACGTACTTTATTCTTTCCGTTTCGAACGTTTTCTTTTAACCACTCGTAAAGATGCACGCCGACGGGGTCATTTTCACATAGTGAGAGAAGAGGCATATTAGCAATTTATAAGCACCAACGGAATGCTGGCAAACTTTGAACACACTCTACATTATTTTCGATCTGTATTTTGCTTTGAATCGTCGCTCGTTTCTACATACCTGCCATGGAACAGAGGTTTGGGCCTGAAATATAGCGAAGTTTAGCATCGCTCAGTGGTAAAGGAAAAATGCTGTAACTAAAGCAATTACACTTTCACAATATTAATAAAGGTACATACTACCCGGTACAACCAAAATAACAAAAGTTATTCATGTTAATTCCGGCGACGAGACAAAATTCACGCGTTTTCCCATACGAATATAAAGGAAGACCGGAAAAGTAGACTGCATGCTGTCTGCTTCAATTTGCAACCGGAAGTCCCGTAGACACTGGCGCCAGCTGTGCCTCTAGCGTTTATTGTAATAACTCTATGTTGCTACCGAAGTTAAAATGCACCTAGGTCGGGACGCACTACCTGAAAGCACCGCTGAGGCATGGTTGTATAAAAACAATATTAATTGTGCCGCAAATCCTTGCAAACTAAAGATTTTAAAAACATTACCCGCCCTTCATTTTGTACTAAACTCCAATAAATTTCATACAAAGAGAGTCTTTTCCGTTTGTCTTTACGCAAAAACATGCTTTCTAAAAGCATGTTTTTGCGTGCTTTTAGACAAATGGTAAAGAGTGGCGCTGTTGTCGCATTTAGCTCGGTCTCGGTGGACGCCAGCGGCCCAGGTTTCGACGGCGACTTTCCCAACTGTGTGTCTTAGTAACGTTGCTTGGGACCAACGTTGCTTGGGACGCATCTGCAACGCGAGTTCTGACGTCATCGAGTAAGCGCGAGTAAGTTTTGAAACGCCACGGTACGAAACCTTTACTCCGGCGTCGGATCGAATAAATGCTGGAACACAGCCAAACGCATACACATCGAGGGGCTTCTCTAGACGAGCTAGTGTTTGTGAACTCGTTGTAAAACACTGTGCTAGAGCAACAGATTGTAAGCGCGTTGCCTCCCACCCTCGTTGTCTGAGGGAGCAAAGAGAGAATAACCGCCGAATTCAGAAACCTCCCTCAAACTACACTCAAACTGAAGGGCCCCTCCACTTCCTCGAGGAAGGCGCGAGGGCCGGCGCTGGCCAATCGCGAGGACGGATCCGCCGTGGCCATTGGCCAGCGCCGGCCCTCGCGGCTTTCTCGAGGAAGTGGGGGGGCTCTTCAGTCTGAGTGTAGTTTGAGTGAGGTTTCTGAATTCGGCGGTAAACGTCTTCGAGCGTGCACGCGGAGTCAAAGCACGAAGGAAGGCAACGAGCGCGTGCAGGAGGCCGGGCGCCCGAAAAAGGTGCCCCGACGTTTTCATCGTCCTTGACTATACTTTTAACTATATTTTCCCGACGCCACTACGCGCCGTTGCACTATCAAGAAAAAGTAGAAAAAAAATTTGCGCATAATTTATGCGTTGCGCGAAGTATAGTTCCTACAAGATTCGGTTGTCGAAGGAAGAAACAATGCTTTCGGCGTTTGAATCGAGTACGTCTGTATTAAATTAACAAGAATCTAAACGAAAGACGGAATTGTTTAGCGTCACGCGAGCAGCCGGATTTTTTTACTACGGTTCTTGAGATCCGCGTGTGTTCGCAGCGCAAGTTCGTCTGCTTCTTGAACAGGGGTTGGGATGATGTCAGAACGCCGAACTCTTGTTGGTTGATTAAAAAACAAAATAGTGGGTAGACCTCAAGGCATTGAGGTCTACGCACCATCCTTTCAATCGAAGCCAGTCAGAGCTCGGCGTCGTTGTGACGTCACTGCAACTCCTGCGCAAAAAGCAGACGACTTGCTCTCCGCATAGGCAAGGGAGTGACCGCACCCATTAAAATACACGTTAGTGTGGGAGGGAGAGAGAGATAGGGGGCATAAATTGTTATTGTATAGATATGGTAGCTTTAAAAACGGCGCCGGCCTTACACTTTCATGGTATCGTGACTATATGTGGTTACTGACAGCCTAGCAAACGCCAGGGCGTGGCCTATTATAATAATCACGCTTCTTGCGTCATGATTGGCTCTCCGGCGTTCTTATCGGCTGATGCGGCGATCTCATTGGCTGCCGAACGATAATCAGATGCTCAGGATTCGCCACGCCCTGCCTTTCTTCTGCTTTCGGCGACTAGAGATTCTTCCATTTCGTCGTGTGAGTCTTCCCCCCCTCCCCCCCCCCCCCCCCCTATTAGCGGCGAGATGTTTTAGTGGCGCTCTCCTGCGGTTCCCCTTTGTGACGTCATTACCTTGCAAACAACAAGTTCGATTGTGTTTGTAAATAGCATGGTGGAAGCTTGAAATCATTGCGCTCTCAAAGGAACACTGCCAACACCGTCAAAATTAAAGTTCTTTCATTCCTCTTATTTCCGTCGATGATAAATCCTTTTCTGACGTCATAGTCAGCGTTCGGCCAATCGTGGAAGGCCGACCACAGCGACGCTTTCAGTCGCGCACGTCGCCAATAAGGATGGATAATAATTCACCCGCTTTTCAGTACCCTCTTTATCGCGCAACTAAAAAAAAAAAAAAAAAAAAAGACTTGTACAATTTGACAGCTGTTGGACATATTTCTTTATTGACGATATTCACTTCAATACATTTTCAGTTTCTAAAAAGAAAAAGCAGTATTTTGGATATTTTTGTACACTTTTATAAACATTACTTAACGTCGTCGCCGCGTCTTGTGAATGTTCCGTACATCACGCCAAGTTTGCCTGGCCAGTATCGGGTTACACTGCCAGGCATTACATTTGTATATACTGTACCGTGTTAATTATTTTAAGGTTTCCTTTCTGCGTTGTTCATCTGTTTACCCTCGCATAGATTTCGAATCTACAGGTGCATAACCGCGAATACGTTCGATAACGCGAAAAGCTGCCGACGCCTTGTTTCCCGGGCATTTCCCGTTTTCGAACGCGCTGTGGCATGGTTATTCATCCGTACATTTGGACTGCGTGACTTCGGAAACCTCATTATGAGGAACATATATTCTTGCGCTGTACAACCAGTCATGATATGGAGGTAACCTTTGAACCTTCCTCGACTTCCTAAACATCGAAAAATCTATGTGGGACGTGCCAGTTTGTCTGACAGAGGGTTGTAATTGGTGCGTCGAGAATTTAGGCGCAGCGACAGACAGGAAACGAACACAGCTAGCAAAGCGGTGTCCCGCGTGGGACTCCGCCAGAGCTCTACTGTCACTCGCTTGGAACTACAGAACGAAACTTTCCAAAAGAAAAGTTGTACTGTAGCCTATCATCATGTAAACATGTAAGCTCTCTTCCGCCACGCGAAAAAAAAAAAAAAAATCATCGGATATCTGCATTTCCTTGATTTCCAATTATCAGCGCACTATTTTTCTTCATGAAATGAAACTTCCTGCAAACATCACTGTACAGCATAAGGCACTTTGATGACGAACGGCATGATGACAGGATTCAAGAAAGACATGTGCCAGTTCGAATGTGTGCAGACATCTTAAAAAAAAAAAAAAAAAAAAAAAAACTATGGCAAAAAAAATATGTCACGTTTGTATTCACTTTATGTCAGTTTCGAATGCTGAATGTTGTTCGCGAGCGAATCACAAGCACAGCACCGGACTCGATTGTCACTTTGGAGTCCACAAATAAGGCACATGTAAACACAGTGAAACTCTGCGTGTCTCTGTGTTGAGGGGTGCGTGACGCCGCCGATGGCTGGCACTTTTCACACCTCACTGGAGGGACATCCGTTCTCGGCGTCCAGCGTCAAGCCCTCGTTGAGTTTGCAGAGTTGGTCCTCGACAGCACCGTTGCCGTTCTCGAACCCGCCCTGGTACGTCGGCTGCAGCCCGTCGGCCACATCGTTAGGAGAGGCGTAGCTGACACGGAGCGGTCTCGCTTGACTGCTCGGCGGCACGAAGCGGTGCACGTGGCTCGAGTACGGAGGCGGATGAAGAGGTCGCGGCAGCAGCGCCGGTTTCGTGGGCTTCGGTTGTCCCGGCGTCGGCGCCAAGTCGCCACCGTTCTCTATCGGAGACTTGCGAAGCCCGCCAGTGCCGTTGGCGATGGGAGACTGCGAGGACGTCGAGTTGAGCTCCTCTTTTTCCTTTTCCTCGTCCTGAAAGTCTTCCTTGTTGTAAGAGGTCAGGTCTCCGTCGCTCTTGAAGCCCCTGGCTATCCTGGGCGACGAACCCTGCGCAGCTGGACTCCACCGGGCGGGGTCTTTGTTGGCACGCTGGCCGTCGGGATCGGTCGCCTGTTCCCAGAGCGGGTACTTTGGCTTGGCACCGAGCTTCTCGAAGTCCGGCCTGTTTCCCGCCCTGTTTGCGAGGTGCGGCGGCGGCGGAGGCAGCCCGACCTCGTTGCCGAACAGCCCCGGCGGTGGAGGACCATTTGTCGCCGTCATTGGCAGAATCCGCGCTGCCCGACGATTCGACTCGAACACTTCTTCATCAAAACCGTCCATCCCGTTCATGTCGTGGAGCACCTCTTCGGATTTGGCCTTAGTGACCCCGTACACACCATTGGGCCGTGGTCTCCTGAGCACCTGGGACCAGTGGGGTGCCTCGGTGAACTTGGTCTTAGAATTCGAGTCGGAGCTCTGGCCCTGAGGGCTGCACCGGTAGTCTGCCACCCTTTCGCGGACGTAGGTCTCGAGCTCGGTCTTGAGGGCGTCTTGCTGGGCGGCTTGCCGTCGCTCTCGGTCTACGCGCTCCCGGAGTGCGGCCCTCTCCACGCGGTCCAGGCACTCGGTCTTCTCTGCAGCCAGCTTCTCCCGCACAGACTGGTTCAGGTTAAACAGCTGGTTGCGGGTCTTGCGCTCCAAGTGCGCGATCTTCGCATTGAGGTCTTCGTGCGCGTGGTCGATGTGGTCGATGAGTTCCTGTTTGTCGGCCTCCAGTTTTTTCTCCACGTTGTGGAAAAATGGAGCACAGTAGCAGGTGTAGCCCTTGCCCACAGGACCCTGGGCAAGAGACATCTGGTTCAACGAATAAAATTCCCGCTCTAGAAGACGCTCTTATCTGGGTGATGGTTAGGTGGAGGAAAGTATATCGCACGAGGGGAACTGTCTTCACAGACTTTCAGTATGATTTCATTTTGTAAGCATTTAGTAAATTTAGATAAAGCTTAACTAGTTCTGCGATCAGCACTGGAACGTGGTTTAACGGATGAAATTTTCCCTGTAGAAAGCACCGTTATCTGGACGATGGTTAGGTAGATGAAAGTATATCGTATGATGTTAACTTTCCTTCGAGGACTTCTTGTCTGATTTAGCTGTAACTTATTATTAACCGGCTCTACGCACGATCGGAACCGAGGCGTGGCGAACGTTCAGCTCATGTTCGAGTACTTAAAAAATCAAATTAATATCTTCTCGAATATACGTGTCATATGCCGTGTTCCGTAATGACGGGGAATAAGGGAAAAACGAGACCTACCTTTCGAATGTTTCCGGCCAGGTCGAGGAAGTACTGCTCCCCTTTTCCCAGCGGTTCCGGGGGAAGCGTGTCCAACTTCGGCGGCGGAAACGCGTTGAGGTTTGGCGTCAGGTGACACCCGTAGGGACTCCACTTCTTGCCTTTCTTGTCCGGTTTCTCATCATCGAAATGTACCTTGTGGCCGTGTTTCGACTGCGCAAAGACAGTAGAGTCGTGATCAGCGTCTCGGAATTCGAGCTTTTTTTTAGTATGGCGGTTTAAAGGGGTACAGAAACGAAATGGTTGCTAATATTTCATTCTTTAGATATGGTCTATGTTGTGGCAGAAGCCCAGAAACACTAGTCTAGACTATTGTTTCTAGGCTTCCGGCAAAAAAGTCAAAGGAACTAATTTTAAAACGAATAAACATATTTCAAGATTGTTTCTGGTGGCGGTCTGTGAAGCTCTGTTGAAATGCCACCACGTCATCGGCTTCTAAGAAGCAGAGCCGATTCGCGGCAGTATGGCTCTCTCGTGGAGTTACTTTGTCCTGAATGTGACTTGGCGGAAAACGCTGACGCGTTTACTACGTTGTATGTGTTACCTGCCACAGTGCTTCCGCAACATGCATTCCACACCATCAAGATAGCCGTTCTTTGCGGACGTTACGTAGAGCTTTATCCGAGGATGCGAGAACCTCGCCTGTTACATTTAGCCTCCTCCACCTACCCTTCCCATAATCCCCTTCCCCCGTCACGATTGGTTGACTTTATCAAGAAATCGTGATGTATCCCATTCCTTTAATAAATACGTTTTCTCACTCACTCTGCCAGACCAATCGTACCCCCCTCCCCCCTGCCCCACCGTGCACCCCCGGGTATGCGCTGTGAACAACGCGCTCAAACATGACACCCTGTGAATACCTTAATATACGTAGATTGCAGGTGTCCCCATTGCTGGGTACTGACGGTTCTTTCTAGTAACTGTTTCCCTCGAAAGCCGGTGTGAAACTAACACGGTGAACCGAACGCTCGCGGCACATAAAATACCGGCATGGCCGCGAATGACGTTAGGGGCAAGCTATGTATAGGTCATAGGGCGTGCAGCCCTCAGATATTACCAGGGTTGTAAAAGTTACTTCAAAAATGTACCTAAGATACAGTTACAGTTACTCATACGAAAATGTACCTAGGTGCATATCTAGCTACTCGCTTAAAAATGTACCTAGGTACAGGTACAGTTACTTCAAAGATACTTTTTATTTTTACGTCAAGTATTTTTCTCAAATTTGTCACATTATTATTGGAAGTAAATCCTTTGTATGCTGGGATGTACACAAAAACAAGTTTGATAAACGTGCTTTATTGATGTCAATGTTTTAAGGAAGGAAGAGAATATTTTAACGCGAGCACGTTTAGGAGCTTGTGTCACAGAAAATCCGTCGTATGCCGGTGGCGTCGGTGGCGTGACGGGAAATTCCTGAATGGTCGATAGGGTTTTGACGTCACAGCCACTTGACTTCGCGCGGGAATTTCAAACAACCCACAACGCTCATGTGAAACGTGACGTCATGCGTGGAATGAAGGTGGTTAAAGACGCGCGAATTAATAGTCGCCGCATGTTCCAAATGATCCCACTTCATAAACTAATCCATTTGCCTTAAAGAAAAATTTTAAGAATTTACGCAGGATCGCACCCACGACCCTTCGGTTGCGAGCCAGACATGCTAACGACTAGGCAACGGAGGGCTTGGGAATGGCACTGCGATCCTGCCGTCATTGGAGTGCCTCGATGTCTGTCTGTGTCAGGGTAAAGGCATTATGGCATCGAGTGTTGTCTGTGCGTACCGAGCAAACACATAAATATACCTTGCGGGGTAAATTGGCACCAAAGCACTGGCAAAAGCTCCTCGATCGCACCGGGAGTGTTGTATCATAAGAACTAGGTCGTTGTGTGACTCAAGAGCATGAGAAGCGATTGAGAAGGCCATGCGAACGGGGCCCGACAACTCTATCGCGTTCAACTCTTAAAGGCGAAGATTAATCGTCCTCCCAGTTTTTTTTCTTCACAAACATTTTCAGTTTTGTAAAGTGCAAAATTTGAGTTCGATTTATTGCATGGAAAAACTACATGATGTTAAATTGCTTTACGACTGTAATTATAATTTATTTTCAGTTACATGTTATATTGTATTTCTATGATTTTGACGAAGTGAATAGAAAAGTACCTGTAAAAAGTAACTTCACCTAGTTTCAAGTTACTGGAAAATGTACCTAAGATACAGATACAGATACTGAGAAATGAAAGTACCTAGGTTTGTACCTCAGGTACAACAAAAGTACCTAGATACCGATTTACAGTTACTTGTACCTAGGTACTTTACAACCCTGGATATTACTACCACATTATTACTAGGCGAGATAGTTACGTGTTGACGCCACCAAGCGGCAACGCTTGAAACTACAGTACCCTTGCTCGTGCAGGAGCCATTGACGTCGCGAGCGCGATATGCATTGCGCTTCTGGCTAGTCGATTTTGAACCGAGAGGTAGATAGCTCGCGGCCACGTCATATCCTTTCCGTACCTCTTTGATGAAAACATGATAAGCATTTGCCGTCAGGACCTGCAAAAATTTACGGTGAGCTGGCTTGTTTTACCGGCGCAATCTGCCTGATATCTGGTGGCCAATGGTTTATGAGACGACACGACTTTGAAGTCAAACGAAGCCTTATATTGGTTCTGATCGAAGTCCATTCCGTCACACCTGATGTTTTTTCTGATGAACCCTTGGACACAGGTTTTGTCGGTTAATGTCTCAGAGCCCTGACAGTGGTTAGAGGTTTCCATGGTAGGGTCTACTCTGAGTGACGATGTTGTTGAGAAAAAGCTGGCCTACGTAATGGCGACGAGCGCAGCAGCGTGAAGTCGCAGTTACTTATGGCATGAACACAAAGAAGCATATTGACTGATCTTGTTAACGAACATATTTTCTGCATGGTTATATTGCTTTGCACATTTGTTGCGCATTTACCTTTTTGTGCTTATCCTTCTTGTGCTTCTGTGAGCTTTCCTTGCTGCCCTGTGACGTGCCGCTCTCTTTCTCTCGCTTCTTGCTCTTGCACTTGTTCTCGGGCGTGGGAGTGTCTTGTACCTCGATCACGCGAGGCGGCGGATTTTCGATGAGCTCGACCACTTCGTTGAACTCTTTCCGTCGGGCGATGTCCAGCGCCGTCTCACCTTGCTGCAGGGACGAAGTATTTGTATATCCAATGTAGAATGGATAATAAGCCCCTTTCGAAAGTGTGCCCTCTATTGGAAGCTGTTGAGTCCCTGCACAATGGAAGCACAAGCGCGAGCTTCTTGCGTTCGCTTGCGCCCGGCAGCCGCACGAGCCCTCGTACAGCGGGAGCACAGGTCGAAGCCACCCACTCGCGCTACTGGCACGTTCTGATGTATCGGTTGTTCCACCATTGTGCAGTCATAGCCTTTTCTATAATGACAAAGCCTGGCAGATCGCCACGAGAAGTGGCCGCCGAAATTGAAAAGTAGAGCGGCAGACAACGGATGAGAGGATGGATGGATGGATGGATGAATCTGGCTGAGCCCTTTGGATTGGGCGGTAGCTTACACCACCTAGCCATTTTGATTTACCATTTAAGCTTAAAATATTTAAATGTGAAAACTATAGTCACTCCGCACTGCAAAGAAAGTGAGGCTGTAAAACCCCCTTGCCATTTGTTAATAAGAAAATACCTAGTTTTCTCTTGCTTTCTGCCACCATTCACTTAATCTTTGCTTGGTAATCTCTACTGTCTTGAAATACACTTTTCCTTCGCTGTCTCTAAAACCCAATGACTTTATTAAAACTATGTTGTCTTCGGTAGACATAGGGTGAAGCCTGTGCTCAGCCGTCTCGTCCTCCTTTCCACAAGCAGTGCACACTCTATCTATTTCCTGGTACTTCGCTCTGTATGTTCTAATTCGCAAAACACCTGTCCTTGCCTCAAACAACAATGAGCTTCCCCTAGAATTGTCATAAATGCTTTCTTTGGCAATAACTGTTTTGTTTAATCTATAGCTTTCCAGAGCCGTGTTTGTCTGCATTCCCTCTAGCCACTGATCTCATTCTGTGGCCTTGACTTTCTTCTTAACTGAGACCTGCTCTTCCGTAACTCCACTATAACCTAAAAACTTTCCTCTTAATTTCTTTGTGTCTATACTCCTCATGTATAAATCGCTGAAAACCTTTCGTGCCCGTTGCTCCACATCCATTTGCCTCAACCGATCCTCAAATTCTATCTTGCTCACACCTTCCCTGCCTTGTACTCCCTGGTTTGGCGTTTTGCAATGTGCCCCCAAAGCCAGCCTACCTACTCCGCGCTGTTTTATTTCTAGTCTTGCATGCACTTCGGATTTCATGCATAGCACTGCGTTTCCAAAAGTCAAGCCAGGCACCATGATCCCTTTCCAAATCTCTCTCACCATCTCATACCTGTTGTAATTCCAAAGTGCTCTATTTTTCATTACAGCTGCCTTTCTGTTGCCCTTACGTATTATATACTTTGCATGCTCACTGAAATATTCTGCACCACGTGACAAGCGCCCCGCTGCGGCGAGACGCCGAAACACACTTCTCCCAAGCGATGGAATGTCCGCTCGTGCTCCTCGCGTTCCTCGCGTTACCGCTTCTTTTCTCGTCGGGTTAGAAAACCATGTTTCGGGTCCTCGCCGCTGCAAAGGTTGTGCACTGACGTCCAGGTTCCCCGAGAAATCCTCTGTGCTACCAGATCCTCGCGCTCCAAATCTGCGACCGGGCACTCATGGCTCCGTCGTCGAACTGCCAGGCTTTGTAAGTAGAGGCTACGATGCAGTGGATGAGATTTTTTTCTTTCAGTGGGTACGTGATTTTTGGAAGGGGTCTATTAAAATAGCATTTTTTTTCCTGCCGTACACTGTCAGTACTACAGAGTAGCGTGATTGTTAGGATTGAGTACCTTGTTGGCGACATTGGCATCGCATCCGGCTTCCAGGAGGATTCGGGTCAGCTTTCGTCGGCCCATCGCCGCCGTAATGTGCAGACCGCTGTCTCCATTCTGCACGAGTGAGAACAGCCATATCGTCACCAACATCATCGCCGCTATTTTAAACGTTGACAATGTACCACACGATTGCGGTCTGATGTAGCGAGGAAAACGAGTTGAAAGCGTGATGTATGGTTTGAGCGCAGGGACGATCGCCCGATAATTATGCACGAATATCCGTAATAGGCTGTGGAAAACCTAGTCACAAATAGAGCATAGTATGGAGGTATACAAGCTCAATCTCAATTTGCCTGCGCTCTGTTAGCTTAAGACGAATTCAAGTGGATGGTTCGGGCCCTTCGATTCGAATGAAGCTCGCGATAGAACGTTCCCTGAACAGAACGCCTCAGAGACGTCAAACTCAAATATCGGTTGTTTTTGAAGGCAGGAGAAATGAAAAGAACCAAGTATAGAAAAATACACAGCACCTTGCAATATAATCCCGGGAGGGTTTCCGATCCAAACAAGTAGGACAGAATAAACTGAGAATCCTATATATATGCCCTCGGTTTCGAGGCGTTGTCGTACCTTGTTGACTTCACTGGCGTTGCAGTAGGCGCTGATCAGTATCCGAAGCACCCCTGCGTGACCGTAGCGGGATGCCGTGTGCAACGGCGTATCTCCGTACTGCAACGTAGAAAGAAACCGAAGCAGCACTCTGTGAGACCACTGTCGCGAACTGCCGACGTTAAGTCGACGAGCGTTACTTAGTTTTTATCGAGTATGGTAATCAATATCTGCTATATAAGCTAAGCCCATGCTTTTTGCCTCATCCCCTTCAAAGAACGAGCATGGAACACTGCTCTCGAACACATCCGTTATGCATTGTTATCATCTTGGAATACATTTTAGCGCTCAAAACACAAGGACACGAAGGCGAGAATCAGACACCACAGAGCGCTGTGGTGTCTGATTCTCGTCTTCGTGTCCTTGTGTTTTGAGCGCTAAAATGTATTCCAAGTTCCAAAACCAACTAGCCCAACAATCTACTCTATTGTTATTGTCAACATGGTTTACTCTCGAAAAGATATTCAACTCCCTAAGAACATTTTTTTAAGTAACTGGATGGAATGCCACAAAATACCCCCCCCCCCCCCCCCTCTTTCCTTCCCAACTCAAAAAAAAAGAAAAAAAAAAGCTTGCCATATATGTTTCGAGGCTCATTTGAGCGAATCCGAAACATTATTTTATTAACGGACGGGCGGATTAGAAACTGAAGCGTTTCGGGAACCCCCTGACCAGTGTTATAGGCGTTACCGAAGAAAAGTTGCGAAATGCGTTATTTGAAAATTAAAGGGAACGCGTTTCCGACTTACATTGCCTCAAACTTGAAGGGAAGGGAATGTGTTACTGTTACAGATAAAAAGTAACACTCTACTTTTGCGTTCCTTTTTATTTAGGAAATAAAACGCTTTACTGCTTTGATGTCACAGGTATGCATAAACGCCATATTAAAAAAAAAAACAAAAAACATTACGTTTTTTTTTTTTTTAAATTTTGAAGGTATATAGGGATGAGTGCAAGAATTCACATGACTTTCCGCATAGAGACAAAAAAAAGTAAACTGCAGTTTTTTGTTTTAAGTACTGGGAAAAAAAAGATGTAACGAGTAACGTAACTACATTACCCATTACTCGAAATAATAACGTAAGTACGCTCTAAAAAACTGAAAAGCGAAAAAAAAAAAAAAAAACACGGACGTCGGAGAGGAGGCACATACAACACGGACTGGCGCTACCTTTCAACTGATTTAATCGAGGTAAACCACCCAACACACGCGTGAACACTCTTTCTTATCACGCCAACCACATACGCTTTCCGCTACTGTTGTGAACTTGTGACGAGTACGTTACTACGTCATCGAAAAAAAAAAAGTGAGGCATTGCCGGAGACGCCGTTACCTGTCACTCTTTATCGCCACCACTGCCCCTAACTCAAAATCAGTATCGGGAAAGGCACCCCGTTTGAACCTTCGCTTCATAAAACTTACAAATTAAAAATAATAATAATAAATAATAAGAGTGCATTAGTTGGACACGCATTCGCGCGAATGAAGCACCAGCGAATGTCAGACTCGTGCCTGCTCGCACTTGTATTTCATTATTGTTGCCTCCCATCGGTAAAGCATAATTTTTTAATGAACCGGAAGTCGCCAAACTCTGATCGGGTATCCGCAACTTCAACACCCTCAACACTTTTTCCACAAGCGCGCAGCGATCTTGAATATCGTGAGTTCTGGTATGCGTTAAAACAACGTTTTGATCTCTCCACGCCGCTTGAAGGTGTTCACAAAAAATGCCTGATTGTCACACATTCCTGTTTTGTCTCACCTATATTTTCTCGCATATTCCATGTTGAAATATGTTATTATTATTTTTTTTTGTCCCGCATACCAGATACAAAACCCACGTAACTGAGGACGAAATAGAAACGAAAAACGCCTATAGATGGCGGTGCGGTACACTTCTAAGAGGGCGGAAGAGACGAGAATACATTCTCCAGGATTTCCCGTGCTCCTGCTCGCTGACGCTGGTAGGCGAAGCGGTCGGGCCAGGAGCGTATCACGGGTGACGGAGATGTTGACGGCCGTTAGGAAAACGATCCAGCTATATTTAGAAGTTGCTGAAACCTCACAGAACTTGCGAAGCTTTTGTTGAAGGCGAACGGGAGTTGGGCACCGGTCACGTCACTGTACGTGGCAAAAGATTTTCGAGGGTGACGAAGATATCGTGGTGTTTGCGTCGTGCCATGGCCACAAGGGCTCTAATATGTGCAGGGTTATACCGTCAAGCTTCGAAAGAGAAGCGTTCACAGTATATATTAACGTGTCTGTGTAAGGGGCTCACAACTCACTGCACACCGTCGCGGTTTTACTGCATTGCAACACGTGATCAACCTGCGCCATGATTATTAATAGGCAGTTTTGGCATAACGTGAACGCAGGCTGTCGTACGGTGCGGCGTTGCAACCGAAGGCTCGCGTTGCACATTTGAAACCTTATTTTCAGCGCGCGTCGATCAGGAGCGTCGTTGTACGTAGCCTGGCGGCAATTCTATGTTAAAACTGTTTGTTAACGACATAAGCGTTTTTTTTTTAAACTAGTTGCTTAATCAAACATAGATATTCGAATACAGTATACCACACATCTATGTTATTTTGCAGCGTTGCAACCCGTCTCGCCAAAAACAGTCCGTTCTAAGCACTCGTACGGATGGCTAACGCAGAAGCGCTTAAAAATGCTGCGAGCATTGTTTTATTTGTCTTTGAATTACCTGAAAGCGAGTGTGCGCAAGTGCGTACTTGGTTTAAAAGTGCTTGGAGCAAAAGCGGCAATGTTCCTTGTCACGGCCTTTCAGTACGTAGAACGCGAACCAATTCCCGGTGTCTATCGCTCGACAGACCGTTGCGCCAGTTTTCTCCTACTTTCAGGAAAGATGTAGACTTTCGTACAACGTGCGCAAGAGCTTTGCACTGCTAGCGAGAACACCTGCCGTCACGTTGAGCACAGATTGAGCTAGTGACCGCAGCACCCGATATCCGAAGCGTATGCGATCTACGAAAAGTTCCCAATGAAATTAAACGTCCCGGCTCCTTCTTGCGATGCTGTTGTGAAGAACACAGCAATTCATATTTTGACGCACTCGCTTTTTCTGTTAAAACTTCATGACGGACGAACACGCCGACCAGACAAGCGGTAGCAGCAGTATACGATGGCCGACAGTTCCTGCCATCGTCTCCGCCGCCGTCCCCGCTCCTCTGGTTCTTCGTTTGTCCGCGAGAGGGCGAGCGGCGGGCTGGAGCTGCGAATAGTATTTTGCGCGGTCTTACGTTGTTTTTAATGTCGGGCTTGCATCCGGCCAACAGAAGAATCCTCGTGCTCTGGTTGTGGCCGTTCTGGCAGGCTAGGTGCAGGGGAGAGAATCCGCCCTGAAATAAGAAAGTTCAACGTGAACGTACGAAAGAAACACGAAATAACAGCTTTCACGTTGAGGTAGGCGAACGGTAACAACTTAGAGCATCATCGCTCCAGGTTACTTTCGAGGTCTGAATTAAAGAGTTTGTCTAGCACACCCTGGGACGTCGAGACGCCCACACACGACACAAAAAGGGTGCGTAAACAAACTTTTCAAAACGCCCCAGCGAAAAAAAAAAGCAACAAAAACAACTCACCTTATTTTTAATATATACATTAGCCTTGTGTTTGCACAGAATCTCGATGGTCCGGCTGTAGCCTTTCCAAGCCGCCTCGTGCAGTGCCGTGTTGGCGTGCTGTTGCGAAGACACAAAGATCGCGCTTTAGTTCATTTACATTACAGACGGGGGGAAGACCTAGCCCACAGCGACGAGGGAGCTTATACCGAGGGGGCGTTCTCATCAAGGCGTTCATACGAAACCCGGAGTGCAGAGATCAGCCAAGCTCTGCGGCTTCACATTGTCGGCAAGATGATCTCATCGAGCATTTTTGAGCAGAAACTCGCTCGCCAGCGTGCCTCCTAGTCCTTGCCTACCTCAGTGGGCGCATGCAACGTTACCATATCCGGGTGCACGATCCTCGAGGCGACTCTGTTAACCTTTCGAGTTCTTCTTAATTCGCCGTAAACGAAGGAGCGGAAAGAAGCAAGACGTGGCTACGCTCGGTCTTCTTTTGCGGAGACGTAGGCGTTCTCGAGCAGAGTCCAAATGACCTACGCTTCATATGTTTATTTCTTCTCGCTTTTTTTGGCTGCAGCTGTTTCGTGCTTGGCGCACCGAAACGACAAGTCGGACCTCCGTCCGCGTTTCTACCCCCGCCGAAGTCGACGTGGCAATGGATGCAGCTTATCCAGAGGTCTCCCCACTGCGATCTGACCTCGGTAACTTAACCTTTCGTGATGCATCGGCTAGGGGCTCGGTTCGACTCTATAGCTTCGCCCACCCGGAGATTCGCCCATCAACGCGAGACACCATGTGCGAGGCTTCGTGGTTCTTGTTGTTTATGGCTGCGGCGGTGTTGTCTCGTAGCGCGCGTGTGTAAAAACGTTGAATCTAAAACGTCAATAGGGGCCAAGAGAAAAAGAAAAGATCCATTGTGCGGGTGCAGGAACTGTCCCCCCTTACCCACTCACGTTTATAAAGCATACTTGGGCGGTTCACACAGTCGAGTGAAGTCGGGTTCGGGGAACGCGCCACGCTGATTGTTTTTTGTCGGGTGCGCTCCTCTGCGTTGGCGTTTCTTTAACGCGGTTAACGAACTTCCTCAATTTGTTTTGCGGGGTCTTAACGGGTTGTGGGTGTGTGCTTCTGGCTGGCAGGAAAGGCTTGGCTCTTCGAAGTCGCTTCCTTTTCTTACGGTGTGCATGGTAATACATATGCGCATAACGAAATCTCCAGAGTGGGGGAGGGCAGTCCTTTTTTCTTAGGGCCGGGGGAGGGGGTGTGGGGGGGGGGGGGTAGGGAAGGAGGGAGGGAGGGGAGCAAACAAACAGGTTTCTTTTGGGAGACTCATCAGAATTGTCTTTTGTTTCTATAGGCGGCAGGATGCGCTCGTAACCAGAGCGGTCGCTTCTGAAAGGAGCTTGGAGCTTCGGGGAGTCGAAGAGTTACGGTCAACTCCTCCGGGACAACTTTTTCGGCTGACAGCTCGTTTGTTTCTCGAAACAAATTGTCACTGATGAAGCCGAATGCTATGCACTGTAACGCATATGCTTGGCCTCACCCGATGAAAATCAAAGGCCGTTTGTCACGAACCACTTAACTGAAATCGCTTGAGTGTAGTTCCATCTTCAGAGCATGCGTGCATAGACACCCTAACATGTCCGCACATAGACCCGTAAGTGTAAGATGACCCAGATGTGACCGTGGGCCATTTCAGAGCGCCTCTCTCAAGTGATTAATGGTGTCGGGTTACAAGCGACCTCCCAAAGGTGTAGCCACAACGCCCTTTTGCAAAATTCAAGCTCGGCGTTGGTTACCCTACTATTCTTGCAATATGGGAAGCCCACCTTTAAAGACAAGCGAGTGTCCTACAAGATGGGAAGCGGCTAGACCGTATAACCCTATGTACGAACAGTTGAAGACGAAGGAAAAAAAATGGTGGAAGGGGATTCTTTTTTTACATATGTAAACCTAAGTGCGGCTCGTCCTGTTTTCAAAGAGGGTCACTCGATTAGGAGGCGTGCCGGTGTTTATAAACGCTAGGGCACGCCTCATCTTGCCTGCTGTTGTACGCGACAGAGAGTGTGCAGCAACGAATGCGTACCATTTCGTCCTGGATGTCGACGAGGACGTTGTGCTTGACCAGAAGCCTCACCACCTCCTCATGTCCTTCCGTCGCGGCTTGGTGCAGTGGCGAGTAGCCGCACTGTAACACAGAATACAGTGTCGGTAAGAGACAGGTGGCGTGACGTCATGAGATCAGTGACAGATTTTTGTTTTTATCTCACGCAGCTCTGCAGAATACTTCACACCTAAGGACGTTAACAGAACTGCGCAGTGGTTCTTTCAAATTTTCTTCAAATTAAGTTGAATTTACAGGGAGAGATCGCTGAAAAAAGAGTGTCATGGAACTTCTCAAGTTCTTCCTTATCGTCGTCGATAATGTTTGTAGTTTGTTTGATGTATAAATTACTCCACGTTAATTTCACGCCATTGGCTCTTCCGTACGTGTGTTCTTCTAACACCTTGAATATATCGTGAAAACCCAAGTTTGATTAATGCAAAAGGGGACAACGCTCACAAAGGTCTCAGACATTTGTTGTTGTTGTTTTTTTCCCTCGGTTTGGGGTTACACACAAAGATGCACCCATGAAGCGCGTATCTTTTTTGTTATTTTTATTCTTGAAACACTTTATATCAGATAAAAGTTAAGTCAGTTAAATAAAAACGAATATTCTTTTTATTAACAAAATGTTTAATATTTTGACTACCAGTGCCTCAAGCAAAATAGAAGTGCGACGGTTGATTCCTAACGCTTTGCTAGGAATCAACTTCGTCTGCTACTTGCACAGGAATTGCGATGATGTCAGAACGCCTATCTCTTATTGAGTGATTAAAAAACAAAATACTGGGTAGACCTCAAGGCATCTAGCATTGAGCTTTACCCACTATCCTTTCAATCATAACCAATCAGAGTTCGACATCGTTCTGACGTCACCGCCACTCTTGCGCAAGAAGCAGACGACTTGCTCTCCGTATTGTTCGGCTGTGGTCCGCGCTCCTGCTCTGAAAACAGTAATTAAGATCGTTCTAAAATTGAACGATTGTTTATTAAACGACTCGTGGTCTTGCCATACCACAAAACTTTTTTTTCTCAGGTGGTCAGACCACCAGGTGGTCTTGCCTGACGACGAATGCAGAGAAGGAATATCCGCTTTGCCCAGCACTCGTCAAATGGACAACACCACCTCCGTTCGACAGCAAATCACACGCTGAAGCTGTTCCTGATGTGAACGCCATCAATTGGTTTCGAAATCAAAGCACGCGGTGCTTCGCTCTCGTACATCCGGAAATCAGGAAGTTTCTGACCGCACTTCTCCCGTGTACGAGACCATGAGTGGTGTGCACGTATTATCAGACTTCCCCGTAAAACGCAATGCCGGAATCGGACGTACTTCAGTCGGACATTAAACGCGCTGTAAATCAATCAGCTTCTACTATACACGGTCGAATTTATTTGCTTTTAGAACGCGACAGGTTCGTGCAGCATGGAACACGACGCGAAGTACTACTTAAAGTCAGCTGTTTTAGAATTCAATACGCGCGTCAGCGTATACTGTGCTAGCGACGGCAATGGCGTTTGCTGAGACGCCGCTTTCAAAGGGATTTGACGCCAGCTTGGAGGAAGAGATCACTGGTAGATTGGGTCACCGCGATAACGGTACGAGACCTTAAAACCAGCGAAGCGCGACTGGGGTGTAATGAACGCGTACGTTTTACGATAGCCGCTTGCACTGCACACGAACCGACAGAGCAGCGAGCGAAGGGCAGGTTGCGGATGCAATAAGAGAGCCGGGAGGGAGATGTTAGTCGGTGTACCCGAAGAGCGAGTTTAGATGCATCAGGCACGGCTTAGTAACGAGCACATATGTGCCCGAATTAAAATGAAACTTCAAAGAGCGTGCTCGCCTTGTGTGGGCCATTCTAATTTCGAACTCAAAGATTATAAAACCCGGATGAGAAAGAAAGAAAAAAAAAGGCGAAAGCTGGGGATTCATGTTTACCGTAAACTATGCGAAGGTGTGATGAACCACCTGTTCAAAAGTCGGAGAAAAAGAAGCACGGACTTGTACGCGTATTAAATAAGAACAGCAGCACCTAGAAACAGAATAAATAAAATAATGTTTTGGTTCAAATATTTATTGTTTTTTCTCTGACTAGGGTTTTAGAGCTGACCATCTGCTCGCGACGCCGGTCTTCCCCTGCTCCTCTCGACCTAAACACGCAGACACACAGACACACGCACGCACGCACGCACGCACACGCACACACACGCACACATACACACAGAAGAAAAAGATGTGTCTTTGTGTACGACGTGTCGATAGAAGACCAGTCGTGCGTTCGATAAATCTCATGTCGCTGTGCGTGCATAGCAATCCGCACGTCATAAATATATCAGGGGCCGGGTTCATATACTCCCTCGCAGCGAATTCTCTTCCGGTGGGACGGCAGGCTCCAGCGACGGTAAGATTCGGGGCCCCTCCCAAAGCCCGCTCTCAGCTCTCGGAATGGAACGAGAGCGACTGTAGGATGAGATACAGCTCAGGGGCCTCCGGAACATTCGTCTGGGCTGGCGGCAGGTGTAAGAGAAGCGAATACGTGTAACGTCGGCAAGACATACGCGCAGGGATTTATATACTGGTACGGCGAGCCGCAGGCGGGTGTCTATCGAACGATCCATTGTTGCACTGTGGGCCTCAGTCGCTCCGACCTGCAGGTGGGCGACAGAGAGCACTCGCAGGGAGTGGCCAGTGCCGGCTCTTCACCAGCGGCCTCACACTCTCGCGTCGTGCCCCGAGAATAGTGCTAGGTCCTGTATTTTCCCCATGGTACCACTGTGCCGCATTTGATGCCTTTGCCGAGGCTGTTCATTAGGGCAAAGCGATTAATTGTAGCTGGGACATTGTTAAGATTTCTAACGATGTTTGAGTAAGGTGAGTGATGGGTTTAAAGCAACTGCGGCCTAGCAGCAGTTAGATTTTGTTTGACCGAGTTTGTGACATTGGGAAGTGCCGTCCGGTCTAAGATGGCGTCTAAAAGCACTGTAGAGATGCAATATCGCCAGTGCAGTACGACTGCTAACGTGTGAGATCTTTAACGTGCGTCATGCAGAAATGGCTCTCGACCGCACACGGGTATCATGCGTGTGGGGATTCGAGCCCGTAAGGGAGGGCAGGAGCTTGCTCCCCGTATTTCAAGCGGTGGCGCACTTACACAGTCGGCCACCGTGGCTAATGTTGGCCAGCGCTGGCTACTCCTAAACAGGAGAGTAATTTCGTTTGTCTCGCCTTGTTTTCTGAGTGATCTGGTATTAGGTAAGCACCTAGCGTCCACGTGCGGTCAAGAAGGCACAAAAAGACAGCGAGCACGTGCTGGAGGAAGGCAAGAAAACTTTAAGTCATCCTTGTGATTCTCCTGCTATTCCGGTCAAGCGAATGTCATCGGTCGCACGGCATACACAGATTCCCACTGCAGAGAAACGAGATAGTTGGCCCTTCTGAAACTAAATCTTTTGTTGCTTTGCTAATAAAACACGAAGGTGTCAGGTGAGAACTTGAAAACGTGTGGCTCCGAGTCGTTGGGCATGGGAAGTGTTAGCGTGCGGGTGTGCTTTCGTGCAGGCATGTTCGAACGCGCGCCAGAGGGACTGGGATGGCAGACGTTGGCCTTAAGGCGCACCTAAGCTGGAATCTCTTCCGTGACACTTCCGCACGCTCAGGCACATTTGGTTGTGGTCACTGCTGTTTTCCATTTTTATTGCTTCTCCCGCTCGTTGCGTGAAGTGACTCTGGGGTGCCCCGCCTATCCTTGCGGGCGGCACGACGATTTTAATAGCGGAAGCAGAAGAAGGCGATACACGGTATCATTTTTCATGCCAATTGCCCGTCGCTCTGGCACTAATCGACACGTGAAAGCGGAGACGCAGTTGGGGGGTCTGGTACCGAAGCGAACATGGCACGAACGGAGATACACGCTAATGGTGATCCCCCCTCGAAACTCTCCGAGCCGGAAGACTCCGAGGGCTTACGGAAGCCTCTCATTAGAATCTGCCCGTTTATTGCCGGCTCCTATAATGATAGATGACTTACAGATGAGGGGCCCCCCCACTGCTCGGGCACGGAGAAATTAAAGTGACACGGCTGCCATTTTCGTAATCAATGATACTGGCTAAGCGTGGACGATTGCCGAAGCTACTGTGTGCGGTCATCGTTCGGGACTGACTCGTCGGTGACCGTGAAAAACGTTTATGAGAGTGCCTTTGGAACCTTTAACGAGCGAAATGGTACCGGAGGTCGGCGGTGTACGTGGTTAACCATTCCCGTTAATGGGTATAAACGGTCGGTTAGCAGAAACCTGTATGTATACCGGATTATTTCTTGCAAACAAGTATACGAGAAGAAAATCGACGCCAAGGTCCAGACGCAAGATTATGCGCAAGTTCCCCGGCACTTTTTTTGAAGCTCCCAGTTTCTGAAACGTTCGGGTTCGCGTTCATGAATATACTTTCCTTGTATTCGATCTAGTTCTTGTACGGAGAACAGCGGTGTTTGGTTGGTTAAGTGACTTGGTCCTTTGTATACCCGAACCGCGGGGGGGGGGGGGGGGGGGGGGGGTCACATGACAGATAGTTTATAACCATATTTGCGACGATGAAACGCTGTCATGTTCGAAAAAATGCTTAGATGCCGGTTCACACATACAGCGCACCGCGAAGATGTCGAAAAGTCAGCGTTGCATCAGCATATAGGGCATCTTCGAGTTAGCGCCGCATTGTCTACGTAAACTGGGAAAACGTTTGATGAATGATGTAGGGGAGCGGCTGATATACAGCATGGTGTTGCGCGAAGTCAGCGCTGTGTTTGTATCGATATGTTAGCGCTGCGCTGTATATGTGAAAAGGTCTTTAGGAATTAGCCTCTTCCAAATTACGAATTATTTTAATGGATATAATACTATAGACGCTTTGCGGGAGCTGTGCATGGGCGCCGCCTTAACCGACCTTCAGTTTTTGTTTCCTCATACTACATTTACTTCACTTCATCATTACAATAGCAGGGCAGGTTATTGCCATTTTAGATTCTATGGTACTGTGTCCTTTTCCACAGGATTGGCCTTTGTAGAGGCTCCTCAACGCCCGCTTTA